AATGTTTCCTAGACTCTCAGCTGTTTTATCTTTGTGAGCTTCAAAGGTTGTGGCAATGATGCCTACATGCTTCAGCAATAATGAGATGCCCTTAGATAGATGGTTGCTGACATTGGTGAGATGAGTGTCAGTTTCATAATAGATGGTCAGCAATAGTCTATTGAATGTGGACCATAAGACCATATTCAGGTCATGTATTATAAAGTTATTTTTTTCTTTGTTTTATTTGTGAGTTTCAGGAAAGGTGCACCAAGTTCATCGTAAAGTGAGATCATAGTGACTATATGCAGAAATATCAGAGGGAATGGAGCAAAGCAAAAGGCATGGATATATAGAAGATTGAATTGATGTTAAAGTAGCTCTAGATTCAAATAATTGAAGGATATAGACTCATTGTGTACATATTAGTGTGAGAAAACAACTTATAAAATTACTTTGTTGGACATTTGATTACTTCCATTGTATATAAGCCCAATATATGTGTTCAATAAAATTTATTGTTTTGGTTTTATCACATGCCAGAAGCATTATATTAGTATATATTAGCATAAACATCAAAATATTATTTGATTGTGACTATATCTAAAAGATGTGGTTGCCTCTAAAACATCACAACATACAAATGCATTGTCAGTACATCAAGGTTGCTTCGAATTTAGTTGCCTCAAATTATGTTTTGAGACAAAATAATATGGTTGCTTCAAATGATGTTTTGGGACAAGATAATACAATTGCCTCAAATGATGTGTTGGGACAAGATAGTATGGTTGTCTCTAAATGTGTATCATTTAGCGTCACATCCCTTGTTGCCTCTAAAGGTACTTTTAGAGGCAATCATCATTTAGGGACGGATTCTTTAGAGACACCTTAGGGCAACTAATAAATTGCCTCAAAAAATCATTAGAGACTACTTTCATATATTTAGAGGCAATTTTGTCCTGCCTCTATAGATCTATTTTATTGTAGTGTTTGCTCACGTTTCATGATGCACATGTTGATTTTACAAAAATAATTTAACTATTTGACATGACTATAACAACCATCTGAACTCCTTGTTGTTTCTTTATATGTTCTCCTTGACTAGAAAAATCTACAATGATGATGGATTTAAAATTTCATCTCATTAGTCCTTCTTTGGAAGGTTGCACATGAAAGGCATCAGGTGTAAAAGCTTGACACTGTTTTTGCATGAATTTATAGTGCTAGAAATTTGAATGTTAGTGTGTGTTAGATAATTAATTGATACTCTAAATTTCATGCCACTGACAGTCTGTCACCAATATAGTTGGGATTATGGCGCTGATGATGATGAGACCCCAACTAATTTCACGTAATTTACTTCTAAGTCTTATTAATTTCGTACTACACCGACCCTAAGCCACCCTAGTGCTTTTCACAACATTGCTTATTAGTTGAAGAGTGTGTTGCAGAATTGGTTATTTTGTATTGCTTTAGGATAACTGATGGTGTCTTATTTTACAGGCTCCTTATTTTGATCCCAGAACCAACCTCCGTTACGCGAATACAGAGGTCTTCAAGATGATAAGATCACTTCCTAATGATTATGTTCAGAGATACCTTACTCTTAGAAATGCTGCAGTAGTCTTGAAATAGTTTTTTTTTTGCCAAACTCATCCATAACTTGTCTTAGTTATATGTTTGACTTGTTGCCGCTTATAGTCCTCCGACTAATACTCATGGTATTTGACTTTGAATTTACCACTTCTAGTCCTTCAAATATTGTGAGACAGACACTAATGTTCTTCGACTTTGAAGTTTGAACGTTTCCACTTTTAGTCCTCTAACTATTGTAAAAATGACACTTTTGGTTCTTCAATTTTATCATAATGACATTATTATTAGACCTCCACTTATTGAGAAGAAAGTTAGGGAATGACTAAAAATGTCACTTATAAAAGTCGAATGAGATTTACTGGACATGTTTGGCTTGGTTTTGTTTATGTATACTGATTCACGTGCCTTAATAGTAACTTCGAGATATTATAAAAGTCGAATGAGATTTACTGGACATGTTTGGCTTGGTTTTGTTTATGTATACTGATTCACATGCCTTAATAGTAACTTTGAGATAGGTTGTGTTTTAACTCGAAATACAAACTTCAAAGGTATACAACGTTTATTTATTTATTTCTTCAACCAAGAAGTTTAGTTATTATTAATCAAATCGTGGCTCAAGGCCCGCAAAATACAAATAGGAGGATTGGACAACCATATTACTATATTAGACAGTCAGGCAAAGGAGGAACAACTGTTCGAGCAAGTTCATGAGCAACATGATTCACATACCGTTTAATAAAATCAAAAGAAATGCTATTAAAACTCTTAACTAAGTCTCTTGCATCATCTGCTCACAAACCAAATTGTGCTAGGCCTCCACCAGTTTCTCGATAGCATAAACAGCTTCAAAGACATCGGATTCAACATCTAGGCATTCTCCTTCAACCAACTCAATGCTTCACGAACCCTAAGGACCTCTGCTTCTTTTGGTGAATTTCCTCCCTAGCCATGGCTGAGCTCTTGCCACCACAAAGACACCACCAGCATCCTTTGCCACCAAAACAAGCCCTTGCCATCCATTAGTCCCAGTAGCTGCGTCAATTAGGGGTGTGCAAAAATACTGAACTGACATGGTACCGAACCAAAACGGTATGGTACTGGACTGAAAAACGGGGTTTGAAACGGATCTCAAAATTTTTTGTCCCGAACCGAACCGTACCGATTCTAAATAATGCCATGACCGATTCTCATAAAATGAGAATCAGCCCAGCCGAACCGGACCGAAGTATGATTTAATGATTTAAATTTATATTCATACCATTACTTTGACCAATGTCTTCACACTTTCATCGCCTTACTAGTTCATATGAAGCCTGGAATCGAACCAATGTATGGTTTAATTATTTAAATTTGTACTACTATAGTTTATCTGAAATTTATTAATTATGTAATACTACGTCCGCCCCAAATTGATTTGCAAAAATTAATTTTTCTTGTCAAACGGTTTCATTTTATTCACTTAAATAGCATGTCAATTTTTAATTATAATTAATTTGGTGTTTGCAACTTTGAACGAGTTTTTATGTAGTTTCTGAATATGTAAATTTTAATTGTTAAAAATTGAATTAATTATTCATCCGGCTATTAGCTAGCCGACAACTGTTATTATCAAACACGGTCGTTGACATTTTAGACATCTACTTTTGAAAACAAAATCAAAGTAAAAAGATTGAAAACACCAATTTCAAAATACTTAGAATATGAAATGTCGTAACTTTTAAAGTCGAGAATAAAAAATTTATCACTTACAAAAATTGACCAAATTATCTGAGTGGTTTTTTACCAATTTGGTAAAAAAAACCGGTAAAAAAATGTCAAAACAATACCATCGGTTAACGTCAAACTACCACGCTCCGCCCAGTTGCCGTTCTCAGTCGCAGCCCAGAACGACGGGAACTACTAGTAGGTTGTCTTTCTTCTTCGATATCTATCCACGAACTGCAATCAGTCGATCTGCAGGCGATCAATCTCTTCTTAACTACACGACTACACTTGATCGAATCAACTGTCCAAGTATTTTATCCTCCCTCGAATCTGTATCTGTCCAATTCTTGTCCTCTTCTATGTCCAAATTACTTCTCCCTCGAACCTGAAATCTCCCCCGATTCTTAAATTTGTTTCCGATTCTTAATTTATTCCTCCCTCAAACCTAAAATTTAAGCGTTTCTGTTTTATCTCTATGAAATCAAAGTAATTAATTGATTATTTGATTATATCTAACTGCATGTTATGATGTTTAGCGTGCGATTTTAGATTATAACTACTCTGTTGTGATAAGAAGAGCAGAAATAGAAAGATAGTATGGGTTGGAAAATGTGAAGAGGGTTAGTGCTCGTATGGTGATTGCTTATTAGCTTCTGGAATTATTCTGTTTTAAGTGAGTTATATTTATTTTATCACTTTATCTGTTTTTATTCATTTCATGTTCAGCAATGCAATAGATAACTATTTTTTATCAACTGTTAACTTTTGATATGTCACTTCATTTTTGTAAGGAAATAAACAAATCTTGAAGCTGAAGACTTATGTTGTAGACTTGAGCTGCTTATGGTTTTAGCTTTGGAGATTAATTATATGAGATTTGGAGAATTTCATCTTTGAGATTTGTTTTAAGATGTTTCGAAAATCATGTAATACAGATGAGATTTGCAGTCATGTTTTATGGTTTTTGGTTAACCGGTTGGTGGTTAACCGGTACTCGGTTAACCGAAGTTACGGTACAGATAATGGTATTATAAGACCATTTGGAGTGGTGCAAGAGGCTAAATGTCAAAAATAGACGCCGTTCATATGAAAACAGTGTTTTGACTCCTATTTCTTGCATTCCAGCACCGTCAATAAAATACACTCTGCATATTTTTTTACACGCCAATTTAGTAAAACATTAATTAAATTACTATAAGTCATGTTTTCCTTTTAATTTTTTCTCTGATTAATTATAAAATAAAAAAGACACGTTTCGATGTAAAAATAAATAAATTTCATTAATTCTTTTAACGTTCTTTATTAACAAAAAATGAACTTAGTTCAACTAAAGTGGAATATTCCGTTATTTGTAAAGGCCCCGTGAATTAAAAATTCGTGTTTCGTGTTTTTTGGCCTAAAACTAGGGCTGGGATTTTGGAACCGGGAAGCGAAAAAATGACCGGAACCGAACCGATATAACCCGGTTCGGTTCGGTTCCTGTTTTTGGTTCTAAAAAAATTATCGGTTCGGTTCTTATTAGGATTTATCGGTTCGGTTCCCGGTTTGTCATAAAAATTTGTCCCTGGAACCGATATAGAACCGTTAAGTGTTAGTTCCATCTGAGTAGCTACCAGTTACTCAGTTAGTGGGTTGTCTCTCTAGCCCACTTATTTTGTAGTTCCGTATTGAAGTATTACTTAAAATTAAAATCCAACTTTCAGCCTTTAGCCCAAAGCAACCTTAAGCCCTTTTCAATCTTCACATTTTACGGCTTAAAGCTAATGGGGAAAACCTAGCCGCTTCGATCATTTATGAGTTGCGGCTCTGCTCTTTCATATTCATAATACTCCTCCTTCAACGATTTTAATGGCTTCCTCAAACGAGAGGTCTAGGTATGCTTATCTTGCTCTCTGTGTTTCTTTAATTCGAACTTTTGAACCTCCAGACAAAACTATCGAAGATTCATCTACTTAGGTCTTTCCTTCTTGTTTTGGACAGCGGATTTTCTATACACATCGGAACTTCTGTGTAGAGCAAAGCTCCTCTCCATGTCAATTGTCTTGCTCCGATTTTGCATCACAGTGCTCATTAACCCTACCGTCAAGAGCAAAGAGAAGGTATGTATGTGAATCTCCAATCTATTTAATTTCTATTTCAATTCATTGTAATATTTGTTTTTCCATATGTGATTTATCATTTATGTGATTCATCTCACATTCTCAAAAGGATTTATAATTTTCATGAATTTTTGTTTACCCATATCTTATACTCCGTATAATTAAGCATAATTTTAGTTGAAGAACTTAAGCCATCTTTGGTCGATTCTATGCTTACTACTATAGTGTTTAGGAATTTATGAAATTGTTTATTCAATTTATGTAATTGTTTTTTTATCAATTTATGTAATTGTTTTTTTATCAATTTATGAAGTTGTTTTTTTAATCAAATATAGTGTTTAATTAATTTATAAAATTGTTTTTTTTATCAAATGTATTAGTGTTGGATATAATACGTTATTGAATGAACTGTGTTTTAGATCACTGTTGTGCACTAAAAGCTCAATATAGACAATTTGTATTTCTGTATTCTGAAATGGGAGTTTTTATAACCCCATCACCAAAACCATTAAATAGTTTTAATGATGGATACTTTTAGAAGAACCAGTGTGTGTTTTAATTATTATTATTATTATTATTATGACTATTATTATTATTACACCACATTCTTAATGTTAATTTAAAATAATTCTTTCAGGTTTTAGGTGCTTGAAACTGTGGGCATCTACAACACTCTTGTTGCTCAATCAAAACTGTATTAGGATATTCTAATCATGTATTGAACAAATTGAACTTTTTGTTAAGTTTTCAACTTGTAATATTTGAACATTGGTGTTTTCAACTTATGTACTATTGAAAAAAATTGTACTTAAAGGAACCGATAAAATGCAAGAACCGAACCGTTAAGATATGATTCGGTTCCATAACGGTTCTTCATTTTTTTAACTAGAACCGAACCGATTTTAAGAGATAGATATTTCTTAACGGTTCCACCAATTTTAAAGATGAACCGAACCGGTCCCAGCCCTTTAACTCCCGCATCAAAATTTTATATTTTTTTTTTAATTTTTTTATATATATATGCAATATTGGTGTCAAATGAAAGATCATAACATTTTATAAATTTCGATATATTTTTTGTAAAATTTGGAATATAAATAAAAAAGTTATCGGGCTTTAAATGAAAAAGGTTTTTTTGTATAAGATGAAGTCAAATTCATTTAAAAGAACAACACCATCCAGCACTCCACCAGCCACTGCGCACCCCCCTCTCTCTCCCTTCTTCCTTTTTTGGCTGTCAATCCATCTTCTATATTTGAGACCTTCCCCTCCCCTTTCCATTTTTAATACCTTCAATTAGTCACCAATGTAAGAAAGTAGGAGTCCAAAAGTTCCATTTTAACATTTTGGACTCCTAATACCTAACCACTACAAATGGTCTAAATATAGTAACCGGTTTATCGGTTAACCTAATGTTGGTTAACCAAAACACGGTTAACCAACCACGCCCGCCCCTACTCATTCCCATGCCTAAGTAGAAGTAATTTTCCCAAATTAATTCCAAACCTAATATCTATCCACTTCTCTTTCCTAATTTTCTCCCATTGGATTTGCAAGCAACCGCCAGTGCGACACCGAGATGGAGCCGGAAGTTATGGAAGCAGAGTTAGTGTTGCCAACTCGAATGAAATTCAAGAGAATTCAAATGGCCGACAAGTACCCCAAAGGTCAAGCCAGAGGTAGGCACTGGAAACATCTCAAGCAGATTATCCAAGCCGAGAATTACCAAAATTACCCTCCAAATGAACCCACTTGTAAGTTCCATCATCTACTCTGTAAATATGAAGCTATTTTGAAGGTGAAATTATTTCTTTGTTTGCACTTTGGTATCAAATACTCTTAATTCAACAGAATTTGTCATGTTACTTCAAATGTAATTTTTTAAATTAATATGTCGTTTGCTGATATTGTTTTTATTTATAATTATAAAAAAAATAATCTTTCGTGAGTTAGCAAGGATTTTATGTTCGTCTTTAATGTGGTGTTGATTTAGGAAACAGGTTGCTGCATTTGAACTTTAAAATGAAATGTGCTATATTTCCAAAATGATTTTTCAGTGCAAGGTCTAAGATGCTATAATTAGATATCTCCTTAAATGAATCTTTGTATTTTCACCTTCTTCCTTTATATGCAGACGTTAATATTGAATCTCCCCCTTCTATGCATCCATGCAAAAAGATATGCGATATAACAGGGTTTGAGGTATCTGTCTAAATTTCACTATTATACTGATATTTGATATAATGCTTGATAGTTTCAGAAATTCCCGCCCAGATTGCATTATTCCTTGCCTAGACACAAAGCTCTCATTTGCTCACGTTTCATGATGCACATGTTGATTTTACAAAAAAAATTTAACTATTTGACATGACTATAACAACCATCTGAACTCCTTGTTGTTTCTTTATATGTTCTCCTTGACTAGAAAAATCTACAATGATGATGGATTTAAAATTTCATCTCATTAGTCCTTCTTTGGAAGGTTGCACATGAAAGGCATCAGGTGTAAAAGCTTGACACTGTTTTTGCATGAATTTATAGTGCTAGAAATTTGAATGTTAGTGTGTGTTAGATAATTAATTGATACTCTAAATTTCATGCCACTGACAGTCTGTCACCAATATAGTTGGGATTATGGCGCTGATGATGATGAGACCCCAACTAATTTCACGTAATTTACTTCTAAGTCTTATTAATTTCGTACTACACCGACCCTAAGCCACCCTAGTGCTTTTCACAACATTGCTTATTAGTTGAAGAGTGTGTTGCAGAATTGGTTATTTTGTATTGCTTTAGGATAACTGATGGTGTCTTATTTTACAGGCTCCTTATTTTGATCCCAGAACCAACCTCCGTTACGCGAATACAGAGGTCTTCAAGATGATAAGATCACTTCCTAATGATTATGTTCAGAGATACCTTACTCTTAGAAATGCTGCAGTAGTCTTGAAATAGTTTTTTTTTTGCCAAACTCATCCATAACTTGTCTTAGTTATATGTTTGACTTGTTGCCGCTTATAGTCCTCCGACTAATACTCATGGTATTTGACTTTGAATTTACCACTTCTAGTCCTTCAAATATTGTGAGACAGACACTAATGTTCTTCGACTTTGAAGTTTGAACGTTTCCACTTTTAGTCCTCTAACTATTGTAAAAATGACACTTTTGGTTCTTCAATTTTATCATAATGACATTATTATTAGACCTCCACTTATTGAGAAGAAAGTTAGGGAATGACTAAAAATGTCACTTATAAAAGTCGAATGAGATTTACTGGACATGTTTGGCTTGGTTTTGTTTATGTATACTGATTCACGTGCCTTAATAGTAACTTCGAGATATTATAAAAGTCGAATGAGATTTACTGGACATGTTTGGCTTGGTTTTGTTTATGTATACTGATTCACATGCCTTAATAGTAACTTTGAGATAGGTTGTGTTTTAACTCGAAATACAAACTTCAAAGGTATACAACGTTTATTTATTTATTTCTTCAACCAAGAAGTTTAGTTATTATTAATCAAATCGTGGCTCAAGGCCCGCAAAATACAAATAGGAGGATTGGACAACCATAATACTATATTAGACAGTCAGGCAAAGGAGGAACAACTGTTCGAGCAAGTTCATGAGCAACATGATTCACATACCGTTTAATAAAATCAAAAGAAATGCTATTAAAACTCTTAACTAAGTCTCTTGCATCATCTGCTCACAAACCAAATTGTGCTAGGCCTCCACCAGTTTCTCGATAGCATAAACAGCTTCAAAGGCATCGGATTCAACATCTAGGCATTCTCCTTCAACCAACTCAATGCTTCACGAACCCTAAGGACCTCTGCTTCTTTTGGTGAATTTCCTCCCTAGCCATGGTTGAGCTCTTGCCACCACAAAGACACCACCAGCATCCTTTGCCTCCAAAACAAGCCCTTGCCATCCATTAGTCCCAGTAGCTGCGTCAATTAGGGGTGTGCAAAAATACTGAACTGACATGGTACCGAACCAAAACGGTATGGTACTGGACTGAAAAACGGGGTTTGAAACGGATCTCAAAATTTTTTGTCCCGAACCGAACCGTACCGATTCTAAATAATGCCATGACCGATTCTCATAAAATGAGAATCAACCCAGCCGAACCGGGCCGAAGTATGATTTAATGATTTAAATTTATATTCATACCATTACTTTGACCAATGTCTTCACACTTTCATCGCCTTACTAGTTCATATGAAGCCTGGAATCGAACCAATGTATGGTTTAATTATTTAAATTTGTACTACTATAGTTTATCTGAAATTTATTAATTATGTAATACTACGTCCGCCCCAAATTGATTTGCAAAAATTAATTTTTCTTGTCAAACAGTTTCATTTTATTCACTTAAATAGCATGTCAATTTTTAATTATAATTAATTTGGTGTTTGCAACTTTGAACGAGTTTTTATGTAGTTTCTGAATATGTAAATTTTAATTGTTAAAAATTGAATTAATTATCAATAAAGAGGATTTAAATTTAACATTGGTTGACCAAAAAATATTGACTTTGCATATCAATTTGGGACGGAGGGAGTATGAAAATTGATGAATTGTGTGGATTTTTGGAGGATGGCTAAACTTTAATTTCCTCTTACACACTAGGAAAAGGTAGCATAATTTGGTATTGGTATGACATGGTACCGTCCCGTTTGAAAATGGAACCGTACCGAACGGGTTTAGGTGTAAGACTGAACCGTTTGAATAGTCACGGTACGGGTAAGGGTTCGACCAAATATTGGACCGGACCGGACTGTGCCTACCCCTAGCGGCAATATTAACCTTCACATAACCAACTTCTGGTTTCCTCCACATCTCCGGCGGCCTTCTTCCAGACTACTCCAGCCTCTAGGGGTCCGCTACCCATCTCTTGAGCTGTGCGCCACCCTCCAAGAAAAGATTTGGCCATCACCGTTGTGCTAGCTTCTTCATGCCATATTTTCCTGTCACTAAACTGCCATAAACTCCAACAATACTTGACCAACTCACAACATTGCTCCTCATTCTTGGATGAGAAAAGCACCCGAACCACTCTAACAAAGAATATATATATAGATGTACAACGTTTATACTTTCCCCGTTCTTAAATAAGTGCAACGGTCATTCGGTCAACATTCACGTCGAGGCACAACTTTGACCATTAATATATCTAACTCTCTATTAGTAAAAAAATAAAAAATAAAATAGATTTTGAAAATTTACAATGAGACAAATTTAGTAATATTTTTTTCAAAAAAATATATTAATGCATCAATAACTAAAATGTAGTCAAAGTAGAACATGCGAATAATGTAAGATTTTGTATGTTTCACTTATTTAAAAACGGAGGTAGTATGATTAGCAGGTGTTAGAAGTAATGGGCGGTTGTGGCAGTGGTTTGCCCACTAAACACATATTTAGTTGATTCAGTACGTCAAAAAGAAGTTTTCAGTGCATCTTATAGTTGTCCCAGGATACTTCAAAAGGTAGAGAAGTTGGGCCTCACACGTAATACGTTACTCGAAAGACGAAAGGTATCCACACTCGACTATTGTTTATATTTCACCAAAAAAATTGTTGAAAATCAGAGCTTTGGATCAGACTTTTTGTTTATATAATACTTGTGCCGATTAAAAGAAACCAAGAACCGTAATCAAAATAATTCATATTCTTAAGAGTTGGGCTGGTCTTGCATGGAGCATTTCATGATTCTTGCCATCAACTTATAGGACTCCACGACCCAAAGATAGATATTGGACTGCTGTAAGTGTAAATTAAAGTAGGAGAAAGATTTTCTTTTATTATTCAATGTAAATCATGTCCTACAACCGAGTGCTGCCTATCAATTATAAGGAAAGAAAATATTCCACATAAATGTAAATAAATGATAGGACCGAAAATAACTATAAGCCTAAAATAGCTAACAATCATGATACTCCCCCTCAAGTTGGAGCATGAGGTTCAAGAATGCCCAACTTGCGAAGTAGGTAATGGAACTGAGTCTTGCCAAGAGCTTTAGTAAAGATGTCGACAAACTGTACAGTAGTAGGGACATAGCTAGGAGCAATAAGACCATCTTTGATAGCATCTCGAACAAAGTGACAATCAACCTCAATATGTTTTGTGTGTTCGTGAAAAACAGGATTGCGGGCAATGCGTAAAGCAGACTGACTGTCACAGAAGAGAGGAATAGCCTTGGGATGCTGAATACCAAGACTCAAGAGTAGGGCCTTTAACCATTTGAGTTCGCACGTGGTTGCTGCCATGGCCCGATACTCAGCTTCAGGCGACGATCGTGACACAGTAGATTGCTTTTTGGTCTTCCCGAAGACGGGTGAGTGGCCCATAAAAACCAACCATCCTGATAAAGAACGTCGTGTAATAGGGCAAGCAGCCCAATCTGAATCACACCATCCAGTTAAGGATAAATCACTGTCAGCCCAAAGAAGTATTCCCTGCCCAGGAGAACCTTTAAGATAACGGACCACACGAAGAGCAGCATCCCAGTGAGCTTGGCATGGAGAGTGCTTAAACTGAGACAAAATGTGTACAGAGTAAGCTAGGTCAGGGCGGGTAACATCCAGATAAATGAGTCGTCCAAGTAAGCGACGATAAGGCTTAGGATCAGAGAGAACATGCCCTTCAATTTTGGCGAGAGAATGATTCTGATCAATAGGAAAGGCCGTCGGTTTGGCCCTTAAAAGACCAGTTTCAGTGAGAATATTCATAGTGCACTTTCTTTGTGTAAGAAACAGGCATGAGGGACTTCACGCTACTTCAATACCAAGAAAGTAGCGAAGTGTGCCCAAATCTTTCATATGAAAACAAGTACTGAGATAAGATTTAAATTGAAGGATGGCGTCGTGATCATTTCCAGAAATGATCAAGTCGTCAACGTACACCAGAACATTCAACTGAACAGATCCCCGAGTCTGAGTGAACAAAGAATAATCGGCATATGATTGAATGAAGCCGTAACCGCAAAGGGCCCCAACTAATTTTGCATACCAACAGCGGGGAGCTTGTTTCAAGCCATAGAGAGATTTATGTAGGCGACATACAAGTGAAGGATCAGACATAGTATACCCTGGAGGGATCTGCATATAGACTTATTCATCTAAATCCCCATGCAGAAAAGCATTATGAACGTCCATCTGGTGAAGCTCCCAATTTTTAGAAGCTGCAACTGCAAGGAAGGCCCGAACAATAACCATTTTGGCGACTGGAGCAAACGTCTCTGTGTAATCAAGTCCAGCAACTTTTCGATTGCCAAAGATTACCAATCGAGCTTTTAGACGTTTAACAGAACCATCAGAGTGATATTTAATCTTGTAAACTCACCGACTCCCCAAAGCTCGTTTTCCGGGAGGAAGAGTTTGGAGAGTCCAAGTATGATTTTGTTCAAGTGCGTGTATCTCATCGCGCATAGCAGCCCGCCAACCAGCATCTTTGTCCGCTTCAGAAAAGGAGGTAGGTTCCGTATGAACAGAAATAGCTGCAAAAAACGGATGATATCGAGAAGAAAAGTTATCACAGTTAATGTAATGAGCTATAGGGAATGGAGTACTTGAGGAGGAGTGAGGAGCAGGATGAGCGGAGAATGGAATGTTGTGGACCACCGTGTGAGTGGCATAATCCTTCAATTTGACTGAGGGAATCCGGATGCGTTTACCACGACCCAGATCATCTGACGAACTCAGAGATGGTCCATCTGCGGAAGGCTGAGAATCGGACACCAGATAAGGAATTTCAGGAGGTGCCCGGATGGTGGTCAGGTATTCCCAGGTATCAAGGATTGGCGGAGGTGACGGATCATCTGATGAATCATGTGGCAATGTCTCTGATGACATGGTGGCAAAGGGGAACTGATTTTCAAAAAATTTGACATCGCGGGAGATAAAAAATTCCCGAGTTTCAAGATCATAGACACGCCACCCTTTCTTGCCATTGGGGTATCCAAGAAAAAGACATTTCCGGCTGCGGCTAATTAATTTATCACGAGCGGAACGGAGATTATGCGCAAAACATAAACACCCGAAAACCCGAAGAGCCTCATAATTAGGTAATTTTCTGAACAAAACTTCATAGGGGCTTTTATGTTCAAGAACATCGGAAGGGGTGTAGTTAATAAGGTGTGCTGCAGTAAGAACACATTCACCCCAAAATTGGATCGGAAGGTGCGCCTGAAATCGCAATGCTCGAGCCACGTTGAGTATGTGTCGA